TAAAATCATATCAGGATTTTCTGAGGTGGTAGCTACACGTACACGAAGTAATTTGTTTCAAGGTTACATAAACTCTTTAGGATATCGTGAAAAGAATGCACCTCAAAGTGTTTGTGTCATAAGCTTGCATGGGGGAATCTCGTAACATTTTGTCGCTTACCAATAGCCGTCACCCAACCCGAATGGCCTATTGGAGGTTGCATACTTAGTTATTGTACATTTTGATTTATTATGAAATTACAACCCAATTACCTTCGAGTGTGTCGCGGAGAGAAAGAGTATCGGTCATTTCTTTTAATAGTTGACTTGATAGTTAGGTCAAAACGTACAATCCAGGATAACGAAGCACTGCGACGCCAAAAAAAAATTTTTTTTTTTTTTTTTTTTTAATTCATAAAAGATTACGACATATGATTGGATGAGAAATGTTATTTTATCCTCATCTTCACAGCCGACCGACGTTACGAAGTCATGTGCTGATCCGAGAAATTTTTATCATTCTTAATACAAAAAACTGTGACATGCCAGAATCTTGTATTCTCTCATCGACTATTTTATTTATTTATTATTTTTATTATTTTATTTTGACATTTTATTTATCTTCCGAACCTCTGATCACATTTTGAATACTTACGTAATCCTTGTAGAAGAATTGAGTAATGAAATTCGTGGTTACCTGGTACATGACTATTTTTGTGACCCGGCAAAGAACGGTTAATGTATAAAAATTTTCATATTAATAGAAATGGAAGATACTCACAATATTTCGGTAAGATGGATGTGCCAAGGCGGAAATCCGTCAATGTCAACATTGGGAGAAAACAGGATGAGCAATTGAGGCTCTGGAAATTTTGGCACTTGTAATTAAGTTAGAAAACGTAATAAGTGAGCTTTTCTTTCACTTGAACTAGAAATAAAAGGTGTGCCTCATTACCACTGAGTCGTCGATCCAATTCCCCGATATCCAAATCATCACTCTTAAATCTTCCTTCTATCACCTCTTTAGCCAAACT